CAGGGAGCCCGATGCGGGCCTCGATCCTGGGACTCCAGGATCATGACCTGAGCCGAAGGCAGTCGCTTAACCAACTGAGCCACCCAGGCGCCCTCTTTTTTTTTTTTTTTAAAGATTTTATTTGTTTATTTGACAGAGCGAGAGAGGGAACACAAGTAGTGGGAGTGGGAGAGGGAGAAGCAGGCTTCTCGCGGAGCAGGGAGCCTGATGTGGGGCTTGATCCCAGGACCCTGGGATCATGACCTGAGCCGAAGGCAGACGCTTAATGACTGAGCCACCCAGTCGCCCCATTTGTTCTTTTTTTTAAAAAGTGGGCTCTATATGCCCAACGTGGGGCTTGAACTCACGACCCTGAGATCAAGAGTCACACACTCTACTGACTGAGCCAGCCAGGTGCCTCTGACCTTGGGTTTTTTTACCTTAAAGTCTTTGAATCCTTTTAGATGTACAGAAAAGTTCCAGAGATAGTCCAGAGACTATCCTGTATACTCTTCACTCAGGTTCCCTAATATTAACATCTTATATAATGCTTTGGGCTGAACATGTCCTCTCCAGAATTCTTATGTTGAAGCCCTAACCCCCAGTGTGATGGGATTTGGAGATGAGCCTTTGGGAAGTAACTAGGTTTAGATGAGGTCATGAGATGGGACCCTCATGATGGGATTAGTACCCTTAGAAGAAAAGACCAGAGAGCTCTCTCTCTTTCTACCTGCCTCTCTCTCTACCACATGAAGACATGGCAAGAAGGCCGCAAGACATGGCAAGAAGGCGGCCATCTGCAAGCCAGGAAAAGAGCTCTCACTAGGAACTGAATCAGCTGGCACCTGGACCTTGGACTTCCCAGTCTCCAGAACTGTGAGAAATAAATGTCTGTTGTTTATGCCACCATACGTCTATGGTATTTGGTTATAGCAGCCCAAGCAGACTAATACATATAAAACCATAGTACAGTGCCCAAAACTTAAGAAGTTAACATTGGTACAATAATCTTAAGCCACACACTTCATTTGGATTTCACCAGCTGTTCCACTATGTCCTCTTTCTGTTCGAGGACCCCATTCACGATTGCACACTGCATTTAGCTGCCATGTCTCTTTAGTCTCCTCTGATCCATGACAGTTTCTCAGTGGTATCTTGTGCTTTTGAATTTGCATCTCCCTAATGACAGCTGATGTCTTTGCAACCTTGCTTTCAAATCTTTGGGCAAATATCCATAAGTGGGATTTCTGGATCATATGGTAATTCTATGTTTAATTTTTTTAAAAAGATGTTATTTACTTATTTGAGAAAGAGAGAGAATAAGTGGGAGGGAAGGGCAGAGGCAGAGAGAGAAGCAGACTCCCTGCTGAGCAGGGAGCCCGATGCGGGGCTCAATCCCAGGACCCTGGGATCATGACCTG